AAGTTTGACTAACGGCTCAGTAGTTGCGCGGGTGGTAGTATTATAAACGCAGGGTGTTTTCCCAAGTATTCGCTCGTCCAAGGTTTTTATTTTGTCAGCTGTTGTGACATGCCAGTAACGAGCCCTTATTATAAAGTTACCTACCGGTGAAACCAAACTGGGAAATATGGAGCCATGCCTTTCCTAAAATCATTTCTATCTCAGTTTAATGTATTCTGTTCTGATAACATCCCCTAAAATATGCACATAAAAGGTCACAGGCGTAGACAAACAGACGCCCTGAACAATTATTCAATGAATGCATTCGGTCAAGCAGTATGTGTGGATACATAAAAGTTAGTGACGCAAAAAAGAGGAATTGGCTTGCCGAGTTCAAATCTGTGTGTAGTTTATTGTGTTCATATCTGTGCATATACTACTGCGAAATACAGGCTCTGTCTTCTCCTCTTCTTTTAGCTATGGATTAAAAAGCAATTTAAATTTAGCTATCGAATTGTCCTGCAGCGGAACGGATTCCGCGAGATTTACTTGTCCAAGACACGCTACACATTGGCGAATATTTTTCCTATTTCAACCCAGATATATGAAGGGTCATGTGCTCAGCTGCGAGGCGAACCTACGGCCACACCTAATCATGGGACTGACAATGAAGACAGCTATAGGCTGGAAAGTATTTAACATAGAGATACAATGAAAAGCAACTTATCGATATACGAGGTATTACCTCGTATGTTCTAATGTAGTGAACAGTGACTATACGTTCGTTTTCAGACTGTAATACCCTGGTTCCAATCTCACTGGGGTCGATTTGTCAGGTAGGCGTCTTCTTGATGTTATCAGTCTCGGGGAGGTGATCCCAGTGAGCAGCACTTTTGCGAAAGTGCCTGAAAAACATACCACGGGTTGACCCAAGCATTATGGGTGAAATTAGGTAGACGGAACACTTTGGTAGGCATCAATGGTTGTGCTAGAATGAATTTACAAATCCTACTATTTTACCCATAGCTGGTGGAGAAGAAATGAATTCGTACCTTTCTGAATGGTATTTTTTGCGACTAAGTAAATGCAACAAACCCAACTCATTTTGATAAGCCCTTCATTATGACTGAGGGTTTAAGTGTGCCGCCTTGTTCATACTGTAATCACGCCAGATGACGTGATCTTTCCCAGAAACTGTAAATAAAGTCCACTCAGCATAGTTGCAATATAAACCACAGGTGGGCTCTCTGGCTGTTAAACAAACACAAATGTGCCTGAGAGGGCGTCTACAAAAGGGATTATTATACGGTCATTCGAGTTACCAGCTATCCATCCATCCAGTAAAAACTTTGGTTGAAAAAAATGAATGAAAAATTCCCGAAGATAAAAGTCAACAGCAAAGCTCAAAAAACCCAGCAATGATCAGAGAGTACTTCATGGGATCATACTTTTTAATAGAGTTCACCTCATGCAAGGCGGTAAAGCCACTAAGACGTATGGGGTTATTGTGTGTGGAAGAGTTAGAGACAGGAACATTACTAATGAACAATAAGGGTGATAAGAAGGACAGTAGATAACGATTGATATTGCATTTAAATTTTTGAAGATAAAAGTCCCCTGGAAAACATGGAGCTGGAAGGCATTTCAACAAGCGAGAAGTGCGAGAAAAGAAACTGTTAGCATAAAACCGACGGTTTTATCTTTGTCAACTCAACTGTAAATTGATGAGATATCGATGCCAGTCTTGTGCCCCGCTTAAATTTTTAAAAAAATGTCTAGGTACCATAGCGAAGAATTCACCCGAACAATTACCATGGAAGTATTTCTAGAAAATGCACAGTGAAGCAGCCTTACGGTGGCGGGAAAGTGACTGAAGCCAAGATGTCAAAATGCATCTTGCCAATAGTATTGCTGGTTCTTCTTCGGATTTTATTCAGGACTTCTAGATAATTAGTAGCACCGGACCATACGTGGCAGCAATATTCCTGGAATGGTAGATGTATAGATATTAAGGATAGATTCTGGATAGAAAACTATCTCGAACGACACAGAGAATCAACTTATGACATAGTCATGGATTCAATATAGTCTTTCATGTCAGCAGAGAATGTTAGCCCAAGATATCTATACTTCTAAGAAATTTTCATAGAAAATATGTATCCTCCGACAGGAATCGAACCTGTATCCTACACTTCACCGTCATATAGCCTGACGTGCTATACCAGATTAAAAGCAGTAAAATCGACCTTGCTAACCGGACGCTCGTCTGTAGCCAAACTGGTAAAAGCACGTCAGATTCCGTGTAAGATACAGGTTCGAATCCTCTTGGAGGACATGTTTTCTATGAAAGTTTCTCGGACATTTAGACCGGTAAATGTTGTTAATACTGTTTATTATAAACAGCATGTACTTAAATATTTGTATGTATACAAATAACGAATAACAGTAAAATATATTAAAATTATTGTCGAACATTGTCCATTAGGGAAACAAGGCAATGGAAGGGAATTCCACAAGTGGGAAGTGCAAGAACAGAAACTATTCGAGGAGGAGTGGCCGTTAAATTTAGCTATTTCAACAGTAAAAGGATGGGACCTAAATGCCAATCTAATAGTACGCTTAAATTCGTGTATTTGGGGCTCTAGAAATAAAAAGCTCGTCAGAGTAATTGCCATGAAAATATTTGTAGAAAAGACAGAGGGAAGCTGATGACAGGAAGGCAAGGAAAAAATGGTTTTCTATGGTGGTTAAATTAAATCAGTTTTATTTTAGAGGCGTTAAAATTGACAAGATATTTCTTGTCCCAACTAACCACTGAGTGGAGGTCCTTTTCAAGAGCTGCTGTCAGGTTTTCCTTGAAAATGATCGCTACTTTTGAGCAACTCGGTTGATTTCAATAATTTCTTTTTTTTATCGTTTTGGAATAAGGTAATAAAGTCACTATGATGTAGAGGAGTTAGTGTTAAAGAAGAATATGAGAAAAAAAAAACATTATTAAAGGCAGAAAACAATAAAAGAACAAAAAAAGAAGACAAAACATAACGATTGGCATTGAATTAAAATGTTTGAAGGTTAAAGTTGGATGAAGAAGCAAGAGCCGGGAAAAGAATTCATCATGAAAATGGGTTCGAATTTTACTATGGTCAATTTGTAAAAGTGAATTTAAAAACAAAATTTAATCCTGAGTAAAGGAATAATGTCAATAGGACTCAGGGGGTTACGAGGTTTTAGAGGATATCAGGAGAAAAAAAACTCCTATTAAAGGGAGAGGTCTATAAAAAAAAAGAAGACAGAAGATAACGATTGACATTGTATTTGAATTGCTGAAGGTCAAAATTGACTGGGAAGCTAGCAACCGGAAAAGAGTTTCACAAGCAAGAAGTGCGAGAGAAGAAATTGTCACCATAGAACTTACGGTTATATCTAGCCATTTCAACTCTAAAATAATGGCACTTTGCCGCCAATGTAGTATTCCGCTTAAATTCATGAAGTCTAAATATCACAGCGGACAGTCCATCAGAACCTTTACCATGAAAAAATACATGGAAGGTACATTACGACGGTGGGAAGTGACCGAAGACGAAATGCCAGGTCAGGACAAATAACATTGCAGATTCTTATTTGGGTTTTATCAAGAATCTGCAAATATATTGCAATAGCATCAGATCAGATGTTGCAGAAATATTCAAAGCCTGGACGAATAGTAAATATGTAAAATATTCCCCATCCTTTTACTCAAGATCCTTCTCCTGGACTGGTTACTAAACAAGGCTAAAGTGCCCTGCTTTTTAACCCATATCGTCTCGTATAGTATTTCATTTATTCATCAGCTTAACTGTAATTTGGATCATAGTGCTATTGTGAACTTATTGCCACCCTCTCTAGAATGATTGCTAATCATGGCGAAAGAAACCACTCTGGTCTGCAATTTAAATTAAATTCAGCGCATCCTGGGTAAGACGATAAACTACATCCGCATCCCGGGTAAATGGATAAACTGCATCTGCGTCCTGGGTACGTCGATAAACTGCATCCGCGTCCTGGGTAAGACGATAAACTACATCCGCATCCTGGGTAAATCGATAAACTGCATCCGCGTCCTGGGTAAGTCGATAAACTGCATCTGCGTCCTGGGTAAGACGATAAACTACATCCTGGAGCGAGGCCTTTGATCAGAAGGTTTTGAGGAGCATGGAACCACCTCTTAATTGCTGGTGTCCCCAGATCCACCTTGAGCCGGGGGTGGTAGCACCTCTCAAGGTCTCAGCGATGAGCAAATAGTTAACCTCCCAAAAGGGGTCACAACACTATGAAAGTAGAAAAATAGGTTTTAATACAAGCAAAACGTTTTTTTGAAAAATTATTACCAGAAGTACATTTTGAAAAAAAAAAATTTTTCCAGCAATACATTTTTGGGAGAAAAAAAATTATTACAAGTAATACATTTTTGGAAAAAATATTACCAGCAATAAAAGTCTTGTCGGAATTAACTAACCAATTGTGGCTGATATGCCGTAAAACAAACTAAAATTAGCTGGAGGGTTGGGGGAGAAATGGATTCATATGTTTTCCAAAAGTATTTGAGCGTAAATGAAAATAACGATTAGAATTCGAATTCGGTTCTCCGATTTTTCATTCCGAGTCGCTATCCATCCTTAAATCCTTTTAAAAGGAACGTACGAATCAAGTATACACCCAGGTACAATTTGGTAGAAATATATACTGAACTATATGTTTCTACCTAATGGTCGTTGAGAATATACGGGATGTGTCTGTCCGTTGTTTGATCAGTTTAACGTTTGAGAAAGATACTTGCCTTGAAGTCAATAGCTTTGTTCTTTTGGGACATTCTTTGATATAAACGATCAAATTCAGGCGTTAGGTACTCTGTTCTGAACTCTTCACCGAAAGTTACTTAATTTAATGAGGCAGCTGTATATTCCAGAAACTATATTTTCAGCCGCAGAACTGCAATGGTACCCTGGGGAAGGTAAAGAGAAAAAGATCTTGATAAATTTAACAGCTGGAATTGGAAAGAAAAAAGTGGTTGAGAAAGAAAGAACGAACAAAAATAGAAAGAAAGAAAGAGAATGAAGTGAATATGAAATAAATAAAAAGAATAGGGAATAGAAAGAAAGAAAGAAGGAAAGAAAGAAAGAAAGAAAGAAAGAAAGAGTTGGGTGTGAAAGAAATGAAATGAATGAGAAATTGAAAAGAAAGAAAGAAAGGAAGGAAGGAAGGAAGAAAGAAAGGAAGAAAGAAAGAATGAAGTGGATATAAAACAAAACAAAACAATAGGAAATAGAAAAAGAAAGAAAGAAAGAAAGAAAGAAAGAAAAAGAAAGAAAGAGGTGGGTGTGAAAGAAATGAAATGAATGAGAAATTGAAAGAAAGAAAGAAAGAAAGAAAGAAAGGAAGGAAGGAAGGAAGAAAGAAAGGAAGAAAAGAAAGAATGAATTGGATATAAAACAAAAAAAAAAACAAAAAGAAAAGAAAGAAAAGAAAGAAAGAAAGAAAGAAAGAAAGAAAGAAAGAAAGACGTGGGTGTGAAAGAAATGAAATGATTGAGAAATTGAAAAGAAGAAAAAATAAAAGAAAGAAAGAAAGAATGAAGTGGATATAAAATAAAACAAAACAACAAGAAATAAAAAGAAAGAAAGAAAGAAGTGGACATGAAAGAAATGAAAAGAACGGGAAATATATAATCAAGCTACAAAGAAAGAAACAAACAAAAGAAGTAAATAAAAACGAACAAAAAGTAAGAAAGTATGAAAGAAAGATAGAAATGTTGAGATAGATAGATAGATAGATAGATAGATAGATAGATAGATAGATAGATATAGGCTAAGATAAAATGAGATGTAAAGTTTCAGAAAACGTCTGAATTAAACTGAAAGAAAAAGTAAGAAATACGACGCAAGAAAGAAAGAAACTTGAAATTAAAATTTCTCAAGAAATAAAGAAAGAATAAAGGAAAATTCTGTGGAGGAAAAAAAAGTGTTGGAAAGATTCAACAAAAACGAAAAGAAACAGCGTATATACAAAGACAAACGCACAAATTAATAGCAAAGAAGTCAAGCAAGAAAGACAATGAGCAAATTCTAAAGACTTGCGCAACAAAGAAATGAAAAAGAAACGAACGAAAGATATCTAACCAAAGATTCTCTCTTCCACTGCCAAGTGCGGCGACCATTATCGAATTTCACACAAAACCTCCTGTTTCCATCGGCTGGGGAATTCGGCGAACCATTTTCTCATTCTTTTGTTCCTAAATTCAACTATTTTTGCTACTCGCCTTGTAGCCATGGAATCCCGTAGAGGTCAAAGATATAATTCACTTCGTAGTAAAAATCGTAAGTTAGAAATGGTCAGTATTTCCCAAAACAGTCTTCAGGACTGTTTTACGAGATACCCGATGTTTCAAGTGCCATAGACACAAATTATAGAGAAAACAATAACAATGCTTCTATTGTTATTGTTTTTATATAACAATATATAAAAACAATAGGAATCTTACTTATTATAAAACGCAAATTGTGTGTATGTGTGTGTGTGTTTGTACGTTTATATATTGGATCGGATTCCCTACATTTTTCAACCGATTTCAACAGAACTTCACAGGACTACGTAAAATTACCTTGCGGTGGTTCTGACAGCGCCAAAAATTGGAAAAACACAATTGTTTTTGCACGAAATCAATTTGAAAACACGATAAAACACAATTCTGTCGCCAGAATGAAAGGGGGACAACTTATAAGTTATACTTATTATAAAACCCAGGTTGTGTGTGTGTGTGTGTGTGTGTGTGTGTGTGTGTGTGTGTGTGTGTGTGTGTGTGTGTGTGTGTGTGTGTGTTCGTTTATATATGGGATCGGATTTCCTACATTTTTTAACCGATTTCAACAAAACTTCACTTTTTTTTTTGGCAGGTAGTGTTTCTTATTGTCTTGCACACTTTTTTTTATTTTTTACATTCAGAATGCTTTAAAAATTCCATTTACAAGACAATTGTTTATAATAAAATTCTATTCAATCGGTAGACTCATAACAATTGAAAACAATGTTTTTGTTTGAGTTTGGGTTTGACCAATTCGTAAAAAAAACTAAAAACTAATTAAGACATGCGTGTCCGTCAACCTTAAACAATAATCTTTGTCAATTTTATGTTTCAGTCTTTATGATGGTCGATACTTGATCTAACTCTTACTGTTACATCCCCGGGCAACTAGTATATAATATATACAATGCCAATATTTAATATATAACATATATAACAATATATAAAGACAATAACAATATATAAAATATATAACAATATATAAAATCAATACAAATATATAATATATACAATGCCAATATGCAATATGTAACAATATATAAGGACAATAACAATATATAACAATATATAAAAACAATGCCAATATATATCAGTATATAACATTATATAAAAACAATAACGATATATAATAAATACATTAACAATACGTAATATGTAACAATATATAATAATATATAAAAACTGAAAAATATATAACAATAATATAATAATATAAAAAACTGAACAATATATAACAATATATAATAAATAAAAACAGTAACAATATATACAATAACAATATGTAATATATAACAATATATAAGGATATAAAAAACAATATATAACAATATATAAAACAATAATAATATATAATATATATAACAACAATAATATATAATAATATATAACGATTTATAAAAGCAAATAATATATAACAATATAGAATCTCAATAACATTTGATTTCAATATATAAAATTAATAACAATGTATAATATATGTCAATAGCAAAATTTAATATATAACAATATATAGGTAATATATAAAGACTATAACGAAAATATATAACACAATATAATATATAATATATACAATGACAATATGGAATATATAACAATATATAACAATATATTAAAACAACAATATATAATAACAATAACAATATTGATTTTATTTAGAAAATTTTCTATTTGTTTTCGCCACATTTTATAAGATTTAGTTTTACTGATGATTTAAAGATTTTAAAGTAACTTTTTTTCTGAACAGTCACGTAATGATCGTCTTCGATGAAAACACGTGTGTTTAAAAATGGGAACGGCTATAAACGAGAAAATGCGAGATAGAAAAGGATTCAATAAACAAGTTAAAAGGAAAGAAAGAAAGAAAGAAAGAAAGAAAGAAGCATTTTTAAAATTCCAGAGAGCTAGCCAAAGAAAAAAAACACAAAAAGATATTAGAAATATCGACTAGAATAAATACAAAAGAAGAGAACAATACAAACATACCCACCCCTCAAGGCTCAATCCTTGGGCCTGCGATGTCCCTAATTTTCATGAATGACCTTCCTGGTGTCATCAGTTCTCAACAATGCAGGCGTCCTCGCCCCCCGGGTTTTATCCTTTGGTTTACGTTGGGCTTAATTTTCATCGACGACCTTCCTGTTGGCAATTTAGTTCTCCTCTCTGCTGATGACACAACTAGTTACTCTTGTCTTAAATGCCTGATCGCTTCTATAAGGTCAAACTGGCAACTGATCTCAAATTCTGTCAACTAGAGAAAAGAATGGCTTGGTAATTTAAAGGCCTCCAAAACGGTATTGATCCAGTTGAATCGTCAGAGAGAAACCCTTTCCGCCTTCCATTAGCATGGCTGATACTAAGCTCCGGAAGGGAGACTCGTTGCGTCTTCTTCGGCTGGCGTTTTCCGCTGACATGAAGAGGGGGGATCATTGTATAGAATTAGTTGCTTTGTTCACTGTGTCCTGCTTGACATTTTTTCTCGCTGGAATCTACCTTAGATTTCTATAAGTTTATCACTGTCTATGCTTTGAATAATGACGTCACATCCGGTCTGGTGCTACTGCTATATATTTGGAGATTCTTGATAAAAGCCAAAAGAGACACTGCAAAGTCATTAGTCCTGACCTGGATTCTCGATTTCACTCGCTTCCCTACCGTTGTGGCAAATATTTTGATGAACTTTCTTCTATGTTACAGAGACTGTGTATTTAAGCACATCTAGAATGGTGTCAAAATCTAATCATTTATGGTGAAACGTAACCGCAAGTTCTATACGTATAGTTCCGTCTCTCGCACTTCTAGTTAACTAGTTAGCTAGATAGATATATATGAACAGAAAACGACAGATAGATAGATAGATAGATAGATAGATAGATAGATAGATAGATAGATAGATATGAACAGAAAAAGATAGACTGAGAGATAGATAGATAGATAGATAGATAGATAGATAGATAGATAGATAGATAGATAGATAAATATGAACAGAGAAAGATAGATAGATAGATAGATAGATAGATAGATAGATAGATAGATAGATAGATATGAACAGAAAAAGATAGATAGATAGATAGATAGATAGATAGATAGATAGATAGATAGATAGATATGAACAGAAAAATATAGATAGATATGAACAGAAAAAGATAGACAGACAGACAGACAGACAGACAGATAGATAGATAGATAGATAGATAGATAGATAGATAGATAGATAGATAGATTTTAGCACACGGCCCCAAGAACAGTGAAGGAATTTGGATGAAACCCGCGAAATTGCCAATGTTAGCAAAATTTTGATAACAGATTTCTTATCAAATGTGAAATTGCGTTTGTGATTCAAGTAACAGGCGTCCGTATATCTCTGTAGATTTCTAACTACATCATCATTCCGATGCAAGATTAAGAATATTTCGCTTATCTCGAGTAATGTACTTTTTGAGATTAGGAAAAAGCGTTTTTCAAGGAAAAAATATTACAATAATATAAAAGCCGGATTACTGACTCTTTAGTTACACAATAAAAAAGTAAAATATAATGTCACAGGAGCCTTACAGAAAGAAAGAAAGAAAGAAAGAAAGAAAGAAAGAAAGAAAGAAAGAAAAGGGTTTTTGGGAAAAGGAAGATTTCAGTCTAGGAAGGATTACTGGGGAAAAAGATTTCTAGGGGGGAAAAAAAGGGTGGGAGGAAGTGAGGAAGGAAGGGAGGAAGAAAGAATGGAAGGAAGGATGGAAGAAGGAATTATTGTTCAAAGAAGAAAGGATGGAAGGAATTAAAAAGGAGGGAGGGAAAAAAAAAATATTGTGTAATCAAGTCTAGAAAGAGATGTTGGAAAAAAATCAAGACTAACAAAAAGATAGAGTAGCCATAAGAAAGAAAGAAAGAAAGAAAGAAAGAAAGAAAGAAAGAAAGACAGAAAGAAAGAAAGAAATAATGCAAAGTCTAACAAAAACAAAGGGGGGTAAAAAGAAACGATAAACAACATTGTAAAATCAAGTAGAAAGAAAGAAAGAAAGAAAAAGCGAAAGAAAGAATATAAAAAAAAAACTCTAAAAAGAAAAAAAGAAATTAAAATTTAAATTTAAATCAAGTAAAAATGAAAGAATGAAATCAGTGTTCATGTTTTACTAGCGACCAGTGAAGACTTGCCACGTATTCGCTAAAAAGATTTGCTGTATGTGTTCAATGAATGCAAGAGTACCAAAATATCTTCCTCAAAGAACGTTATCCAAGTCTATACAGATAACCATTTTGGATTGGCTTTGACTTTACGAAACCGGATAGGCCCTTGCACTTCTGCAGAAACTGCAGTTATGTGTGGAACCGTTTCAAAGATATAGTGTGATCCAAAAAAACGGGAATTTTTGAAGTGCGTATTGCCAGACATGAGCACGTGGCAATACTGCGAGACAGTGGCCTTGAGCAAGTAAACATTTCGCCATTTAGAATTCAAGATGAAATTCACAGTATCCCAGCTGAGATGTTGCAGCAAACAATGATGAATCTCAACAGCAGATTTCAAGAATGCATTTGTACAGGAGGACGCCATCTACAGGACGTAATTTCTAAAAAATGAAAATCCCATCTTTGTTTCTTAAATGGCATGTTTTAAGGTTTCAATTACTATGAATAAAAATATTTTTCTTCCATCACTCTTGGTTTTATTGGATTATTAAAAAGTTCCCGTTTTTCGGGGTCACGCTGTATTTTCAATGGAACTACTATCAAAACAGAAAGGAAATATACAAAATTATCTTATCAGCAAACCTATTGTAGAATATTTCACGTTTTTAGTAAAACCAGCTTCGAATAAAAACATGAAATTGGTCCGGACCTTTTACAGTATCAGGGTGATAACTTTTGGGGCCAAGATGATTTTTGAAGAAAAAAATCTTGTATTTCTCGTCACATGACAATGAGTCGTTACTACTTATATCGTAAACACCTAGGATCTTAGATGCACCATATGTACTGCAGCCATAGTATATTTGGTGTGTCTAGGGCAAGCCAATCTAACAGAGCCTTTCCCTCTTCAGGATGTTTTTGAATTCACTTTTCCTTCTCATGAATGTGTTGTTACCTTAAGGCAAGCGTGTCGGCCATCCCCGCAATTTAATCCAAAGTTGGGGAGGTAGAGGGAGAAGGGACGGATTTCTAACTTTCCGGAAGGTATCTACGTGAATGTGAACGTAGCGATGTCGGCCGTAATTCGAACTCCGTTCACGGATTTCGTTTTCCGATTCTCTGTTACACCTTCCGTACATCCACGACATGGGTAGCATAGATAGATAGATAGATTATGAAAAGAGTGAGATAGATAATGTTTTGGAGTAGTTTTCACAGTGGAGGCTTGTATTTCACTAAATCGGTCCTAAATTAGGTTCGACGTACAAAACGTTAGGAACTTGAAATAATAGTTAATGACGCAGCAATCTAGTTGTGGAGCTCACATTTTAATGTCCGACATCGACTGACTCACACAACTCACTGAGCTTCACTGGCGACTGCTACTACTACTACTTATCTGTGGGAGAGTCTATTTACAACAGAAATAGGTACGTTCCGCTATAATAGATAGATAGATAGATAGATAGATAGATTATGAAAAGAGATAGATAGATAGACAGATAGATAGATAGATTATGAAAAGAGTGAGATAGATAGATAGATAGATAGATAGATAGTGTGGATATTGAAGTAAGCGAGACATGATGACTGGCTTTTCCCCGACTTGTGTAATCATCACATAACATAGATTGCTGCGTACCTCTCGATCTAGTATAATGTCTTGCTAAAACAGTTACAATTGCGTGGTGAGTTCGATCCTGACTGAGTGTCTCATGCTTTTGGTCTTGTATGACATCTAAACGAGGCTTAGATAATCCCTACACCATAGCTTATCCCAGATAGATAGTTAGCGTGGACATAGATGTTAAGCGATACATTATTTCTCGAATTCTGTGTTCATCAGGCAAAAACGGTGGCAATTAAATAAACTTGTCTCGGAAAGTTACGTATTTTGCTACTAATTTTAATTGTTATCGCTTTTCATTCGTTACATCATGGAACCATTTTATACGGCTTCTATGTCGCGGAGTTCAATTGTGTACGCATGCGCAAGCACACGTTTCTTGGCGTCCTGATAATGTTCGCTTCGCAGAACGCGAATTCAAAACGTAAAGGAACTCTAACCTTTGAACCTTTCTCGACGATACGGCCTTTTCTAAATCCTTTTAAAAATTTCATCTAACCTTTTATCTCAATCCTTTCACGTCCTTTTCTGTCTAATCTTTCTCCTTAATCTTAATCTTATATAAATTTCTCTCTCTCTCTCTCTCTCTCTCTCTATATATATATATATATATATATATATATATATATATATATATATATATTTATATATTATTTTATTAATTTTTATATATCATATATTTATTGTATATATATATATATATATATCATTTTTTCGATATTTATATTTATATATATATATATATATATATATATATATATATATATATATATATATATATATATATATATATATATTTCTCAATCTATCTCAGTTTATTGTTCTTGCTCAAGCACCGAACTTTAAATTTTATGTTTTTTTTCTCTCTTTCTACTCAGTTTCTTATTTCTCCAATTTTTTTTTTTTTTTCTGCCTGTTCATTTTCACTAATTATTCTCTCCTTCTTTTATGCCTCTTTCTTCTTCCTCTGTTTTTCAACCTTTTCTTTTCTCTTTCTTTATCTTTCACTACTTTTCTTTTCTCCATTTCTTCCCGCTATCTCCCCCCCTCCTTCAGTGTGTGTCTTATTTTTCTCTGTCTTCATCTCTCTCTTTCTACTTTCTATTTGAATTTCTATAGGCTCTCCTTTTTTTCCCCCCTTCTGGACCTCTCTCACCTTTATTGCCTTCCACGTTGTCTCTCTTCCATGTTTTATCGATGGCGTCTACTATATAATTATTTCCCCCCTTTTCAACGTTTCATTCAAAGTCAGAAAGGCCGCTTCTTGGACTTGACTTTTTTCTCTCTAATCGACATACATTATCTATCTATCTATCTATCTATCTATCTATTTTTTCTTTCTTTCTTTCTTAATACCTATCTATCTATATATATATATATATATATATATATAGATAGATAGAAAGATCATATATATATACTTTTCTTTCAGATTTCTTTCTTTCTATCTATATATATATATATATATATATATATATATATATATATATATATATATTTAGTTTATGAAAAACTAGGTAAATCGTATGGGTAAACCTAAGGAGGATAAAATCCAGAGAGCTCAATGTAAATACAGTTTAAATGTGTCAATATCTGCTAACTCACTTATGTCTTCTCTCTCCCACCTCACTTCCTCACTTCGTTAATTTACATATGTTTAATACGGCCCGACAAAAATGTGTAAATTTTCTTTTCATTTTTTGTTTGGAAGTAAAGTCTGATGATCCACAGTCCTTTTAAAAGGGCTGTGGTGAAATAATTTATTACATGGAACCATAAAGTGGTCTGTTTTTTTTATTTAAATTATATATATATATATATATATATATATATATATATATATATATATATATATATATGAAGAAAGAAAGAAAGAAAATGAAAGAAAAGAGATTGATTTCATGCGTTAAGGCTTCTCGCGTCTTTTGTGCTCCTTCCCGAAGTATTATGTAGATTTGGAAACTATATTAACGTTTGTCTTGGGATCATGGATTTTACAAAATATCATCCCTTGTTAGCATTCTTAATGTTGATATTTTAACATATTTGTGTCTATAGTTACAGAATGTTTTTTTTTATATACCTGAGACTGTTATACTTAAGGTCATAGGTAAAAAATGCTTGTTTTTATACCTCAGGCTATAGGTAGAGAGCGGGCGTTTTATGCTTAAGGCTACAACAGGTAAACAATTGTTGTTTTTATACGATCCTATTGGCAGCAACGGTTGTTTTATACTTAAGGCTATAGTTATACAATGGTTGTTTTTATACCTGTGTTAATAGACAGATAGCGATCGTTTTATACTGAATGGTTTAGGCTAACTATGATCGTTTTTATACCCAAGGCTATAGGCAGACAGCGGTCATTTTATACTTGAGGCTTTAAGTCTTATTAACCTGAGGCTAGAGAGAGACAGTAGTCGTTATATACCTGAGGCTCTAGGTAAACAGTTGTCACTTTTATACATGATGTTATCGGTAAAATTTGATCGTTTTTATTCTTGAGTCTGTTGGCAAACTTTGGACGTGTTCATACCTGAATCTATATGTAAACATGGGCCAGTGTTATATACGGATTGATAGGTAAAAACTGAGCCTATAGCTAATAGTTGATTAACTTTATACTTTAATTTATAGGCAAACAAATGTCAAGTTTATACTTGAGTTTACGCATAAACATTGATGGAATTTATATTTATGTCTACAAGAAATCATTGATCATGTTTATACTTGATTCTGCTAGCATCTATCCGGAAAGGCTCTTTTTGTTGGTAAGATGCCTTCCAGAAACTAAGCACACTATTAAGGGACAGGAAAATGTCCTTCGGGCTGGACCGTAATGTAATAACTAATCATCTATGTGACAGTGAATGCTGAGTAATCTCTTAATAGACGTAGAAGAAACTCGAAGAGGCGGTGATGCTTTTGCTGTTCTACCAAAAAATGATGAGAATACCTTGGATTGAACATACGAACAATGAGGAAGTTTTAAGGAAAATAGTAACTACAAGGAAACTTACAATCAGAATGAGACAGCTGAAATTTCTGGAGCATAGGAAGACGACTTAGTGACTTTAACACACACAAGACATACTGAAGTTAAGAGAAGCCAGAAGTAAAAAAAAGAACAACGAATCTCAGTGAATGGATTTACAGAACACGGGCAATGCTTGGTTGTAAACAGTCACCACTTACTTAGAGCAACAATACTTACCTGCCACATGTCATGTAAGTATTTATCATCTCTCAGTTTCGTCTCTGTCTTCTGGCAGAGTGGGGTTCAGTGGCGGCTCCGTCGGAGGACAGAAGCGCAACTGAGGAAAATCATACAGTTAGGTGCCCAGCGTTGGGGAACAGATTCCCGTGGCTACACCCTCTCACAACACTAGAGTAAAGGATTGGTGCTGGCACCGAGGCCAGCGCAAACGACGGCTGCGGGTGCTGGCACCGAGGCCAGCGCAAACGACGATTGCGGGTGCTGGCACCGAAGCCAGCGCAAACGACGATTGCGGGTGCTGGCACCGAGGCCAGCGCAAACGACGGTTGCGGGTGCTGGCACCGAGGCCAGCGCAAACGACGGTTGCGGGTGCTGGCACCGAGGCCAGCGCAAACGACGGTTGCAGGGGCTCGGGGAATTTTTTGTCCTTGACGTGAGTGTACGCGCTCGGGTTCACCACCTTGTGTCACATCCCGTCTTAGTGGGAAGGCCAGGGTAAATATCTACTTAGTGCAACAAAAAACTGGAAGTTGAGGAGAACCGTGATCTTTCCCATTACTATGGCAAACGGTACATAAAAGAAGAAATATATAATTAATTATGCAATTTGTAAAGGTAGTGTGTCTCGTGCTTGAGTCTATTTACAAAACAATGCTTAATAATTTCTCATATCAGACTTGTCTCGATTTTCCCATGTTGCCTCGACATATCCGACACGTTTCGATTCTAAAAGAGAACCTCATTCTTGTGTCTATCTGTAAAACAAATCTTAATATTTTTTTATATCTGAAATGTCTCTATTCTCACAGGATGTCTCGTTCTTTTGGCTCTATGCAAAACAAACCTATGTCTTCATTATGATATCCATCATGTCTCGATTCTCACGGGATGTCTCGATTGTGTCTATCTAACAAATAATGCTTAATGATTTTCATATATGGCATCTTTCGATTCTTATAAGGTGTCCTGTTCTTAATGCAACCGTCTGCAATTATCCAAATTTCCACCCTTTTTTTTCATAGGATATCTCGTTCTTTTGTCTCTATACAAAGCAAAGCTTTGTCTTCATCATGTCAGAAACGTTTTAAGTTTCATGGCGTTCCTCGTTTTTGTATCTATATATCAGAAAATTCTTCATAGTTCTCATAATACCAGATATCTTTCGGTGCCTCTATTTTTTTGTCTCTATACAAGACGGATCTTTGTAATAGGCACGATAACCCAGATGCTTCGCTTCGCCAGGGGGGGGGTGATTCGTTTTTTGTCTGTCAACCTGAAAATACTTAACAGTTTTCATAATATAAGACGTTCCGTTTGTCAATGGCTGACTCGTTTTCTGTTTTCATACTAGACAAAGTTTAGGGAGTAACCGGATGTCCACCATACTAGGATTGAAATTTCCACTGTCGATATCAACTATGCATAATTTCGTCCCAGCAGTTTATAATTACTAGTCATATTTCTAAAGGACATAATAATGCCGACGGTAATCTGGCGGGATTTTCCTGACAACTGAAACTGGACGATCAGAAAGTTCAATGAGAAGCCCATTGTTAATTATTCATTTAGAATTCGTGATTGCTTTCAAAATGTTATAATCGAGAGCCGTACATAAGCCTCTTACTCAAGTAACAAAAAGTCAAGCAACAACTCTTGAATTACGATTAAGCTTTGATATTTGCTTGGCCTAGAATAAAAGAGCAGATTCCACACTCGATGTCTTTTATGGCCATTGACGTAGAACAATCTTTCGGATTAATCTGTCGGATGTTTTCGATCTGTCGGATGTTTTTGCGTTAATGATGTTCGACTGCAGTTTTAAATACGGTTTAATAATTTTGTTCTTCGGCAAAGCAGTTATGTTTTGTGTTATGTGCCTTGCGGGATACACGCTTAGGTGATCATATATCTTTCGATACATGTCTGACGAGGCAAATTTTTTCCCGCAGTAGTTTGCCATATCTTTTGATACATGTCTAACGAGGCAGATTTTTTTTCCCGCAGTAGTTTGCGATTTCTTTCTGCGGTAGACCAGTTGCCATCCAAGACTATAAAACTGTCTGAATGAAACTCCGAGCTACCTTAATTTGAATTTCTGCTGAAATACCATATCTAAACTGTAAAGACCAAGGTGGTGATACGATCGTGAAATATCTCTACCAGATAGTTCTGTGTTTGGCCATGTGAGATAGAAGCAAAGTCTTGGTGGAAGAAAGTAAGGTTACTTCGTTTGTCCAGTGTTTGCCGACCGTATCAAGCATTTGAAGGCAGTCGCATTGATCCGTCTCTCTGGCGGTAAAGAGTGGATAGATATGACAGGATCCTCGCCCGTGTGCTATCAGCGTGAATACTTTCCTGGAGTTCGTTTAGAGCCACCAGTCGTTCATTCACTTAACCTCTCTCCTCTGAACTAGCTTTAAGCTTAGAGGGAGAAAAACTGACTGGTCTTATTCAATGCCGCGAAAGACAAATTGGTTACATTCCATCATCAACAAGCGGACCCCGAATTTTCAATTATCGTGATGAAGAGGTGCTCTCTCAGGGAGGCCCCATAGTTTGAGCTCCTAATTGATTTTTTTTTGTTTACTACAACGTGAGTGGTATGACTGGGCTTAATCTTGAAGTTTATAACTGGTGAAACTAAGGAATGTAGTTCGTTTGAACACTTTCTATGAAAATAGCCATAGAGCAGCTTGCAACTTTTCGTCTACGTGAAAGGGGTTGTAGGGTGGAAAATAATTCATCACTCACAAAGCCGATGATAGTCTTTTGAGCTCTATCGAAATTGCAGAGGGGTATATGACAGCACCTGCCCAGATATGGCAGAAGTACTCCATTTTCAGCCTGATCTGGATCCTGTAAAAATAATGCATAACAGAGGGAGTCAGCTATTGTTGTGGAGTGATTTCAGAGTGGAGGCTTGTATTTGTACTAAGTCGGTCCTGAAATAGGTTCGACGTACAAAACGTTAGGAACTTGATATAATAGGTATAACGCAGAGTAATCTAATTGTGATCGCTGATACGTTCGTATTCGACTAACGATCGTCCGGCATCGACTGACCGACTGACCGACCTCCACGTTACTCTTACTACTACTATTTATTATAGGTGGGAGAGTCTAATAACTATATAGT